GACCAACCCCTTTAATTGAGTGTCCAAATTCGTGGGTTGGCCCCCACCCATGTGGGAGGTCAACCCTTTTTGTCCAGAAGTGTACAATTTGTCCCGAAAGTTGTATTTTTCGGACTGTTTTAACTGTATTTTATTTTATCGGGTCAAATAAAATATATTATGTGATTTCCATCATTATGACTCTTATGATGAATATTCATACCCCAACTTTAATTTATAAGTCCCCGAAATTCAATTTCGGGCTTTTATCGGTTAAATTACTAGTACCGGTATTTTGGCCTTTTTTGATCAACCGGTCAATTCTATATCATCTCTTTGGACCAATGAGTTATACACCACCATATAAATATTATATTGACCAAGATGAATAAAATGTACGGACTCGGGAATATCGGGCGGCCTCCGCTCCCGGTGTGGGCCCCACGTGCGAATTTACCATTCACGCAAAATAATTAATGAAAATTCACAACTTCGTATACTCGTTAACCACTCCATAAGTTCAATACATTATTCACTTAAAAGTAAGTACTTTTTGGGGACGGTGTTACAAGTTCACCCCCCCTTAATTGGGATTTCGTCCCCGAAATCCACGTGTCTAATCGAAAAGAAACGGGTATTGCTCCCTCATTGAGACCTCAGTCTCCCAGGTTTCCTCTTCGACTCGATCACTCCTCCAAAGAACCTTCACCATAGGAATCTCCTTGTTCCTCAGTTTCTTCACCTGTTGACCCACAATCTTTACCGGTTCCACCGCATATTGTAGGTCTTCACGTATCTCCACCGGTGGCTTCTCAAGAATATGAGATGGATCTCTCACGTATTTCTTGAGCATCGATATATGAAACACGTCGTGTATCTTCTCAAGTTCTGGCGTCAACTTGAGACGGTATGCCACGGCCCCTATCCTTTCAAGGATTTCAAATGGACCAATGTATCTGGGGTTAAGCTTTCCCCGCGATATAAATCGGATGATACCCTTCCAAGGGGAAATCCTTAGGAAGACCTTATCACCGACCTCGAACTCCAATGGCCTGCGTCGTTTGTCGGCATAACTCTTCTGCCGATCTTGGGCAGCCTTGAGTCTATCCTGAATGACCTTCACCTTAGCCTTGGTGATTTCCACAAGTTCAATCCCTTCGAGCTTGGCCTCGCCAACCTCGTCCCAACACAACGGTGTCCTGCATTTCCTCCCATACAATGCCTCATATGGAGGCATGCCAATACTCGCCTGATAACTATTGTTATAGGCGAACTCTACTAGAGCCAAATGTTTGTCCCAACTCCCCTGGAACTCCAAAGCACATGCCCTTAGCATATCTTCTAAAACCTGTATCACCCTCTCGGATTGCCCATCCGTCTGTGGATGAAAAGCTGTGCTAAACTTCAGTTTAGTACCCAAAGATGCTTGAAACTTGGGCCAAAATCGAGATGTGAATCGTGGATCCCTATCCGAGACAATGGATATCGGGACTCCATGTAGTCTCACAATCTCCTCCGTGTATAGCTTTGCCAATCTCTCAAGGGGATAAGTAATGTTGATAGGCAAAAAGTGTGCACTTTTGGTGAGCCTATCAACCACTACCCATACTGCATCATAGTTGTTCACTGTTCGTGGTAGCCCCACCACGAAGTCCATGGTCACATGCTCCCACTTCCATTCTGGAATGGTTAGTGGCTGCAAAAGCCCCGCCGGGTGTTGATGCTCTGCCTTAACTTGTTGGCAAGTAAGGCATCGACTCACGTACTCTGCGATATCCCTCTTCATACCCGACCACCAGTAACTTTCCTTCAAATCTCGGTACATTTTAGTACCTCCTGGATGCATAGCATATGCCGAAGAGTGAGCCTCCTCCAGGATAGACTTTTGGAGCTCTTCACTCTTTGGTATGCACACACGGTCTTTAAACAATAAAAGACCGTCATCACGTACCCGAAAGTTCTCCACGGGCCCTTCAAGGATCCTCTCGCGGATCTTCTGGCATTCCTCATCAGTGGCCTGACATCTACTGATCTCACTCAGCAATGTGGGCCTAACCTCGAATCTAGCAATGAGGACCCCACTCGTGGGCATCTCCACGTGTGCCCTCAAAGTTCGTAGACATGTGAGTAATGTCCCCGACGTACTTTTCCTGCTCAGTGCATCGGCCACTACATTTGCTTTTCCGGGATGATAGTCGATGATCAAGTCATAATCCTTGATCAACTCCATCCATCTCCTTTGTCTCATATTCAACTCCTTCTGAGTGAATACGTACTTTAAGCTCTTATGATCGGTAAAAATGTGACATGTCTCCCCATAGAGGTAATGCCTCCAAATCTTTAGTGCAAACACTACCGCCCCCAACTCTAGATCGTGGGTAGGGTAGTTCGCCTCATGTTTCTTCAATTGCCTAGAAGCATAGGCAATCACCCGACCGTTTTGCATCAGTACACATCCAAGCCCTTGGATGCTAGCATCACTGTAGATATCATACCCTATCCCCTGTATAGGTAGGGCTAGTACTGGTGCTTCGGTAAGTCGTTTCTTCAGTTCAAGGAACCCTTTCTCACACTTGTCGTCCCATATGAACTTGGCCCCTTTCTTTGTGAGCTTCGTTAATGGAGACGCCAATACGGAGAATTTTTCCACAAATTTACGATAGTATCCCGCTAAGCCAAGGAAACTACGTATCTCTTTCACATTCTTGGGTCTCTCCCAATCCATAATAGCTTTAATCTTGGCGTTGTCCACGGCAACGCCCGAACCGGATATGACATGACCGAGGAAACCAATCTCTTTGAGCCAAAATTCGCATTTTGAGAACTTGGCAAAGAGTTGCTTTTCCCTTAACCGATCAAGTACAAGCCTCAAATGGTGTTCGTGCTCCTCCTCGCTCTTGGAGTATATCAAGATGTCGTCAATGAATACTATCACGAATTGATCTAAGTATTCACTAAACACACGGTTCATCAAGTCCATGAATGCCGCCGGTGCGTTGGTTAAACCAAACGACATCACAAGGAATTCGTAATGACCATATCTAGTGCGAAATGCACTCTTAGGTATGTCACTCTCCTTGATCTTCAACTGATGATACCCCGACCTCAAGTCAATCTTCGAGAACACTATTGCCCCTCGAAGTTGGTCGAACAAGTCATCAATCCTCGGTAAGGGATACCTGTTCTTGATGGTGACCTTGTTCAACTGTCGGTAGTCAATACACATTCTTAGTGTACCATCTTTCTTCTTTACGAATAGTACGGGTGCTCCCCACGGTGAATGACTGGGTCTGATGAACCCGTTGTCCAATAGTTCTTGTAGTTGGACCTTCAACTCTTGAAGTTCGGCCGGTGCCATTCGATAAGGAGGAATCGAAATGGGTTTGGTTCCCGGCTCCACTTCGATTACAAATTCGATCTCTCTATCGGGTGGAAGCCCCGGTAGGTCCTTGGGAAAGACATCCGGGTATTTGCATACGACCCGTACATCTTTGATGTCGACTTCCTTCTTGGTATCGTCCACCACGTAGGCAAGGTACGCGTGGCATCCCTTCCTCATCATCTTCCGTGCTCTCATCACGGATATGATACAAGCACTAGATTTCCCCCGATCTCCTTCGAAACATAACGTGTTTCCTAGATCATCCTCGAGCTCCAACACCTTGGTGTAGCAATCAACTCGAGCATGGTGCTTCTCAAGCCAATCCATTCCTAGGATTGCATCGAACTCCAACATGCTTAGAGGTACGAAATCACAAGTCAAGGGTTGACCCGTCACTTCCACCTCACATGATGGATAGTAATGATTTCTCTCCACGTCGTCTCCTAACGGTGTGGAGACTAGCAATGTTTGTGTCATAGGCGTCAATGGCACGTCGAGCCCCTCGGCAAACGCCTCACTCACAAATGAGCGTTGTGCCCCGGTATCGATGAGGATCCTCGCACACCTACCATTGATCTTTAATGTTCCTACATTTATACACCACGTAAGATACCTTTTCTAATGTTTTTACACATCTTTAGGAGGTTATTAGGTTCATACTAATGTTTGGGATCAAACGGGGGTCCAAACGTAGAAGAACGGGGCGAAAAAATCAAGTTTCGGGTGCTGGGGGTCCACGCACGGCGTGCCTGGGTGACACGCACGGTCGTGCGTGCGTGAAAAATCCGGAATCCGCCACTGCCGGCTACGCACGATCGTGCGTAGCTGGTCACGCACGATCGTGCGTCCCACGCACGGCGTGCCTTACCTGCACGCACGGCGTGCGTCTGCGCGGAAAACGGCCAGGAGCTGCTGCCTCGCACGCACGGTCGTGCGTCTGTAGGTACGCGCGATCGCGCGTAGTTGTTTTTAGCCCGTTTCGCCCCGAATTCGCGGGGTTTGACCCCGGGGTGGCCCGCACCCAAACCCAATGACCCGTATGACCCAAATAAGCCTAGAAATACATGGGAACACGTGTATTACCTGCAACGGAGTCGGGATTGGCCCGAGCATCGGCCTCGGTCATTGCGTAGACTCTAGCTTGCGTCCTTCCTTGATTCACGGACGGCGCGTTGCTGGCGCTCGCTCCCCCCTGCCCCGTACTAGCATGGGGTGCTCCGGTCCGACTTCTACTTGCCGTAGTAGCGCCGCTTGATCCCGCCCCTCGGTTTCCACCAAGTTGAGGGCAATTTGGTTTAAGATGCCCCGTGTCTCCACATTGGTAGCACCGAGGAGGGTCACGACACTTACCGGCGTGGCTCCTGTTGCAATTTCGGCACCTGGGCGCTGTCGAGGCTTGTGAGCCCGAGTTGTGCCCGCCGAAAGCCGAGTTTCCCTTGGATGGCGGCGCCGGTGCCCTGAACGATCCTCCTCCCCCGTGGTTCCCCTTTTTGTTAGAACCTTGTGGGCCATGGCTTTCCCACTTCCTCTTCTTCGCCTCATCGGCGTTCCTCCGCTTTCTTTCCTCCCACTCCTTCTCTCCCTTCAGGCCTTGTTCAACCACTTGACTAAACGTCATATTAGGCAATTGTGTTGCCCTCTCGCGTATGTCAAGGTCTAAGGCATCCCAGAAGTGGTTCACCATCCGGTTCTCATCACATATGTACTCCGGTATGAATTCGGCAAGCTTTCTAAACTTGTGCTCAAGTTCCTTCACCGTACATGCGCCTCCCTGCGTCAAGTTCGTATACTCCCTCCTCTTCATGTTTACCTCGAAGTCGGAGTAGTATTGGTTGAAGAACTCCTGCCGAAAGTTCTCCCATGTGACGGCTTCGCCGTATTTCCCTTTGACCCCGTCCCACCACGTGGACGCCATGCCTTCGAGCAATCTTGTTGCCACTCTCAGTTTCATGATGGGTGGCAGCTGCATGTCAAGGGCCGCCTCGTTGAATCTTTTGATCCATTCGGCCGCAACGGAGATGTCTCCCGTTCCATCAAACGGTTTACACCCCAAATCTCGTGCTTCTTTGATAAATTTGGAGATCCTTATGGTTGGACCTCCCACATTTTGGCCTCCATGTGGTTCAACATGGACTCTAGAAGCCCCTTGGCTTCCTCCTCTCGAAGCCATGCCCGAAGGTTGCCCCGTTCGGCGCCTTCGGCGTTGTCTCCTCTCTTCGCGCTCCCGGTGGTATTGTTGGAGCAGCGCCTCGATCCTCCCAAGAGTGCCATCGTCTTCACTCTCTTCACTTACATCGTCATCTTCCCCATCATATGGGGTCTCCACCGGCTCGGTTTCCGGCCTATAGGTTGAGTCCTCATAGGACCAATAAGTCTCACTCTCAGTGTCCACGTGGCCATCGCTCACGGTTTGTTGTTGGCCTCCACGGCCCCTTCCCCTGGACACCCTAGTGGACCCCCGACTGCCGCGTTCGGACCCACCCGGTACACGGCCCATCGGGTTCCTCCTCGTGATCCTTCCAATTGGCTCCATTTCTGAAAGAAGTTTAGAATGAGCCGTTAGACTCGTATCAAATGTCAAGTGACGGATAGGTACTTAGGGACATCTTTTGGCTCAAATCACCGCCATGCCAATTGTTAAGGGTACCATCTTAACAATTAGAGACTTTGCAACTCAAGTATCAAAAGTTCTATAAGTACAAAACTTTATGCTCATGGTTTTCAAATTTTTTTTTTTTTCAAAAGGAATTTTGAAGCTTCATTATGAAGTTTACGGACTAAGGCTCTGATACCAATTAAATTGTCACGCCCCGGACCTACCGGACACGTCAACAACCCGCCGTACAGTACGAATAGTCAACCGCAGTCCAACTCATCCATACTATACTAGGCGTCTTGAATACCATTCACACATAGTACATCCATAAACAACATAATGTAAAATAATCATTTAAAGCAGCGGAAATATTCAATACAAAGTGCACGCCACACTTTGGCAACATGGGCATACAAGCCCTAAATACATATTAAAGAAAAATAATATCCATGAGCATGGTTTAAATCGTTTTCAAAACAGAAACAGAAGAAGCACGAACCACGTCTTCTTCTCTTGAATTCTCCGATACAACGGGCGGTAGCGGCAAGCTTTAATCCCGACCTGAAACTGTGAGGTGGCCTCCCCCGTGAAGGGGAGGTCAGTACTTGGAAGCATTTGACAAGTACAATGACAACTATACTAAGTATAATCAAAGTTTCAATTTCCAAGACCCTCAACTTAGGATGTTACTATTTGAAATTAATTTATGTTCTTTCATGCTAGAGCTCGGCTCATAGTCATGTTAATTTGTGCTAGAGCTCGGCTCATAGTCACACCACATTTCGCTAGAGCTCGGCTCATAGTCATTCCTACATTTTTGTGCTAGAGCTCGGCTCATAGTCACACTACATTTTGCTAGAGCTCGGCTCATAGTCATTCCTATATTTTTACTAGAGCTCGGCTCATAGTCATACTACCACGTGCTAGAGCTCGGCTCGTAGTCACGTCATCTAATCCCTAAACCACTTCTTAGTCTAGGCTCCATTCCTTTTGAGTAACCCTTGAGGTCTACTCCTAACATAACTTGACTTCGTAAAGTCCACCCTAATTATCCTTTAAGGTTACTTAGCTTCAATATTTTGGGATTAGCTCCCAAGCACTATTGAACTAACATCCCCGACTAGTCTTCAATACTAGTCGTCTAATCTTAATAAGCCAACGCCAATTTCATAATAATTCATACATTTCAATTTAATTTCACCTTCAAGTATAACTTGATTCAATATCAAAATATCACTTTTATTTCCTTCATGAGGTAAAAGCATATTTATCACCATACAATTTTATAGCCTACACCACAATTGGGTCATTATAATCACAACACATAATCATACACAATTTATTCTTAAATTTGTATATTATGCATTTTCTTTATGAACAATACTATATTCCATTTTAGGTATTCTTAATCATAAATAACTCATGCCAAACACATATAATTCATTTAGGCAATCTTATGAAATTAACCCAATAATTATAAACAATATAGTCGGTCATCCTCACCTTAAGTGAGCTTAAGCGCGTTCTACACTTCACGGTTGAACTTTGGCGAACTTTGACCAACTCCGGCCAACTTTGACCAACTCCGGCGAAACTCCGGCGAAGCTCAAAGATACTCTAAATCAAGTTCCTAACAAGGTTTTAACATCATAAAACCTTAATCAATACACATAACCTCTAAAAGGTTATTTTCCGGTGAACTTGTCGGTTTGGCTTCTAAATCCATTTTTGGACATAGAACCACCTTCCAACCCCTTGTTCCACATTTATCAACATGTAGAACAATCCTAGGGTTCTTCATAATTTCTCAAATAATAATGTATTCAAGAAAAAGAGAAGAGAAAGGTAAGTGAAGCCATTACCTAGCCTTTCCTCAAGTTTTGTACACTTTTGGAGCTTATACTTTTTCCTAGAGCTTCCTTCTTGGTGGAGCTTCCTTCAACAATGGTGAGATGTTTGAGAGCTTCCTTGCTCTTGGTGGAGGGATGCTGGCCGAAATGATTGAGGAGAAGGGGGGTGGGTGTTCTTTTGTCTCAAATGCATGAGTGGTGTGGAAAGGGCCCACCTTGTATTTGTTTGATTCTTTTCCCATCAACTCCCACTCTCTCCATACTCCTCCAGCCGACCAACCCCTTTAATTGAGTGTCCAAATTCGTGGGTTGGCCCCCACCCATGTGGGAGGTCAACCCTTTTTGTCCAGAAGTGTACAATTTGTCCCGAAAGTTGTATTTTTCGGACTGTTTTAACTGTATTTTATTTTATCGGGTCAAATAAAATATATTATGTGATTTCCATCATTATGACTCTTATGATGAATATTCATACCCCAACTTTAATTTATAAGTCCCCGAAATTCAATTTCGGGCTTTTATCGGTTAAATTACTAGTACCGGTATTTTGGCCTTTTTTGATCAACCGGTCAATTCTATATCATCTCTTTGGACCAATGAGTTATACACCACCATATAAATATTATATTGACCAAGATGAATAAAATGTACGGACTCGGGAATATCGGGCGGCCTCCGCTCCCGGTGTGGGCCCCACGTGCGAATTTACCATTCACGCAAAATAATTAATGAAAATTCACAACTTCGTATACTCGTTAACCACTCCATAAGTTCAATACATTATTCACTTAAAAGTAAGTACTTTTTGGGGACGGTGTTACACTGTGTGCTTATGATTTATTTTCTTACAATCATAGGGCACTTGAACTTCAAATTGCTTTGAGCAAGCATTTCCCTGCGCAGTATTCAGTGTGCTCGGACGTGAAACATGCTTTGAAGTACATTCCTAAGATGTTGTCCAAGAAACAAAAGGGAATATTCCAGAAGTTGTCATGTTTATGGACTTTGAGGATGCGATCGACTTAGCCAAGTTTAGGTCTTCATGTTTATGGTAGGACGGGTTTGGTTGTAAAACATTTATGTAAACTTACTATATACATTTCATTTTGCTCATATTTTGATGATAGAATGAGTTTGGTTGTTAAATGTAGGAGGTTGTACAGTGTTACACTATCAATGTTGTACAATATCCTATAATGTACTCCCAATTTCCTAAATATTACCTGAATTGGTAGCATACACTTACATTTTGTTTTTGTGGCAATATATACAGATGATGCATTTGCCTGTGAAGAAGAAACACCTTGTATGTGTTGTTAAATGACTTTGTCTGTGATTTGCGTCATTGTTGTCTGTGATTTGTGTCGTACTTATTAAATAATTTTTAATAACTAGTTTATGTAATTTCAGAACTACAATTTTTACTAAATTGATTACCACTACTTTATAAATGATATTTTTACCACTGGTGTATACAAAACAATTGATTACAAAAATAACTGATATATGATTTGTGTAGTTATATAAATAATACTTTTAAATTTATACTACAACTTTCGATAACTTTTATTAAATTGATTACCATTGGTCCATAAATGATATTTTTCTTTATAAATTTGATATTGTTTAATTACTTGCAATCCAAACCCATCCTAATTTAATAACTTTTATTTCATAAACTGTACTTGTTCATTTAAATAAGTAGTTGTTTAAGTAACCCATTGTCTATTGTGCGTCGATAAAGGAGAACAAATGTGTCTGTGGTGTAATACGAATTTGTCTGTAATTTGTGTCTTAGTTGTCTGTGATGTAATACATTTAAAAACAAACACATTTCAGAAACACACCAAAGTCTACCCAGAAACACGTCTTATGTCTGTGAAGACCAAAGACTTTGTTTGTGTCGTAATACATAAATGTCTATGAAAATACATGCATGCACATTTCCATCAAACTAAGATTTAAATCTAAACCGCTACAATTCATCATGGTATTAGGACTCCCTTGTGCATTGCCATGGTCAGCAGTACCTTGTGGTGCACTTCCATTTTCATTCCTGGCCTTTGATTTCTTCTTTCCCTTCTCCAACGGTCCTTGTTTACTGTTTTTCCTCGGAGCACTCTTGCGCTTTACACACTTAGGATTTCGAATTATTTTTGGAACCTCACGCACACGACTACTCGGCTGTGGGATAGATGTTACGTTGGCACATATGGAAGACCGATGAACTTGGGGAGGAGTATATGTGGACAATTGAGTCTCCAAATGCAAGCCATTCATGATCTTGTAGGGAATACCTGAAATAACATTATTTACTATCAAATTCCATACCAACATCCGGAGCTTTTATTGAACCATCATCACTCTCATTTTCCTGAATAAACAATGTGTCCATGTCATCATGCACAGACGGAAGTATAATTACGCACACAGGCAGAGGTATATTTATGCACAGACAGAAGTATATATACACACAGACAGAGGAATATTGACTCACAGACATTGCAAACGGAAGAATATTGACACACAGACATTACAAACAAAAGTATAATTATGTAGAGGCAGTGGTATATTTACGCACAGACATAAGTATATTTACCCACAGACAAAAGAATATTTACACACAAACATTTAAAATAGAAGTTAATTCACACAGACATAATGAAATTTATAACATTATGAACACAGACAATTTTATATACACTTTACAAACATACAGACGATATTATACACTACACAAATACTGAGAATTGTCTGTGAAGAACAAACATATATTTAAGTTCAAAGCCAATGAAACCAACAACACAAACTCATACCAAGCTCAGGGACGTCGTCCATGGCCGGTTCTCCATCAAGTTCAGCCGCCGCCTCTGGTTGTCCGTCAAGTTCAGCCGCGGCCACCGCCGATTCTCGCTCAACTTCAGCCGCCACCGGAATATCTCCTTCACCTCGAGAACCACCGATTGTTTAAGCCGATTCATCCCAAAAATCGTCCACTGTAGTATCAAATAGTTTCATTCACAAAGCCAGAATTTGAACCTTGTTCTCGTCGACCTCTGCTGCAGGAAAGAAAAAAAAAGACGACGCGGCGCGGGAGGGATTGGAGGGAGCTGCGGGAATAGAGGGGAGGGGATGTATGCGCACATGAGGGATGGGGGTAAAAAATTAGTAATTTTTGGGTCTATTTATAGTGTGTAGGTGTGTGTATGAGTTTTGTGTACCCCAAGCCCAATTGTAGAAACAATATACTACGTAAGAAGTACCGCATGCGACGGAAATCAGCAACGAATAGTACCCAGATGGAGTATGTGCTGCAGCGGACAAAAGAAGTAAAGAACAACCACGCACTAATATATCTATTGCCCTCAAAGTTGAAACTAATTTCAAAAAAACCCGGCTGTACCATGCCCTAGGTACAGCCGGTTGTACCGTATAATTAACCTACTCGATATAAATTTGAGCGTTTTTTTTAAATTGGTGATCTTAATTGCATATTTTTTATTTTTTTAAGTTCAAATGCTTAATTGACTTTTTTATATACTACAAAAAATATTTAACTAGTTTCCCATTAGTTTAATTTATTAACATTTTTTCTTCAAAAAAAAACATTTTGCAAAAACACTTTGGTGTGTTTTTAATACACTGTTTTTTCCCCATATTTAGGCAAGAAATTATTATTTTTTGTCCGTCTACAATTATTTCTATATTTAAACTATTCATGCACGTACACAACAATAATTTTTTCTGCGTTTAGTTATGCATGATATTTTGACCTAATAGATTTCATTTGCTTTTCCAATTGAATATACACAAGTTATATTGTTTAACTTTAGTTTTTCTTATTTAACAGTCCACCGGAACACCGCGCTTAAATGTTTCAAAGTAATTGTTATTATTTGGAACTTCTACCATTGTATATTTGTATAGACCTTTTGATGTAATTTCTAACCATTTGTTCTATGAGTATTAATTATTTAAAAGTAAGATATCTAAACTTTTGATTGTGATATCATGTATCGATTCATATTAGCCGACCCCAATATCTTTTGGGACTAAGGCTTGGATGTTGTTGTTAAAAATCTAAATTAACTAATTTGGAAGATTTGGGATTTTTAATTAGATTTATATATGTCCCGTACCATATCAAATTGGATTAAACACACAAGATCATACTTTGATGGCATTAGTGCATTACAATATACGTACATAAAACATATTATTAGACCACATCAAACTAGATTATTAGATGCATATATACCAAAAAAATCAGTTATAAACATCCCTAATAAGCCAAGTTTGGACTTTGGAAGTTACGAGGAAGTATGTCACTATGATATATACTCTGTAATGGTGTATACTAGTATCTTTACCCATGCCGTGCACGGGATAAAAGATATACCCTTAATATATGAGGGTGTAGCTTCTGCTCAAACGCACGGGTAAAACGGCACTCCAATTAGGGCTACTACTTAAATTAATATATGTATATATGTATTTTTTATGATCGCACACTTTTTAAGAATTTGTAATCTTTATAATGCGTATGGATGCGTTTGTCTACATAGTAAGATAGTGCAAAGATAAGAAATTTGTGATTAAATTGATTTCATCTCAAACCTGACAGATTCTAAATTGTCAAAACTTCGACAATAATAAAATACATTCTAGAACACATCATAATGGACCAAGTAAAAATAATCCGTGAAACAAAAACCATTCCAATTGAAAACAATATATAGCTACTCAAAAGATGGCTATAATTCTAAAATACGGAGTCGCATGAAACAATAGTGCATTTAGCAAATACTAACACGGATAGTATTATTACCACTTTGTTCTGATTAAATTCCACTATCATTTTTAATTTAGTGTAGTTATTAGGTTAGATTATACGGAGTACTTTTTTTAGAGGGGCTATTCTTCCCAGCCGCGTGCTTTTGTCGTACTCACTTCTTACATTCTACATACATGTACTTGTCATTGCACCATCGATAACAAAATGTGACTAGATAACTTTTAGTAACTATAATTATGTTAAAACTTACTATGATATAGTAACTACCATATAAATTTTGAATACACTTAGAGTCACTAAAGTTAGTAAGTCACATTTATGTCCATGACATTTTTATAAGTAATACGGAGTATTTATGAAAAACAAT